GTGGCCCTCGCAACGGGCAGCGCGGGAAAGGCTGGTGCCACGGAGGGACGGGGGTCCCCGCGCCCTGACCCTCTCCACCCACGGGGTTAACTTGGAGGGGCGGGGAGGGGCCGATTGTTACTGTCTCTTCTTTTCCAGCGTCGTGGTCCGTGTGTCCCTCCCCTTCCCAACGCCAAGGTTCCGCGTGCCCCCCTGGATCCCCAAGGACGCGTGTCCCCCTCCCCAGCTCCTTAGCTCTTTGACCTTTTGGCGAACAGCCTGTCCCGGGGACGCACGGGTTCCTCTGAACCGCCGCCCGGGGCGCCCTCTGGTGGTCAGGGGAAGAGTGATCCGCGCCCGGCGGAAAGTTGGGTTCCAAGGAGGGGGCCTCTGAGCATCCAGAGTGTTTGCTCTCCCAGCCGCCAGTGGGGCGAGGACGCCTGGTCGTGCTGTCGCTGTGCCATCCCTGGTGCCAGTGCTCGCCCCACAGCGCGTGCGACTCTCAGTCCCCTCTGGCTCTGGCCACCTGCGATCCCTCCCAAAACTGGCCTTTCTCAGCCGGCCTGGCTCTTCTGGCCAGAATCTTAACCACCAGTAGTTAAGGGGTGTGCGCTGATGAGCTGCTACTGGCAGACAGCACTTCAAAACCAGTGGCACCCCAAAAGTCTGTAGCAATGTGTGGCTATGAATATGAATACCATGTTTCTGATACCGCCGCCAAATCTACCGACTTTCCCCAAATTCTCACATACTGGTGGTCGTGGGGTAATTACAGCTTTTACTGGGCCGACGCTTACTATGATTAATTTTAACAAAGCCTTTCAGGATAGATTAACTTCCAGGAGCCAAATCAAACTCGGCATTTTTATTTACATATTTATCTTGGCTTTGTAAAATGAGAGGTGGCAGTTCCGCCCCCAGAATCGGTTGAAGATTCTGACCAACACAAGTTCATGGCTGCTTAAAGCCTGGACGCTGGGGCTCTGGGATCTCAGCTGGTTAGCCGTCCACATTTCCAAGATCCAGTGGCTGGCCTCTGCAGTTTGAATATGTATTTCTTTCTCTTTCTCTCCTCCTCAGTAAATTTCCTAAAGCTTTTCTGATAGCCATCAAATCAGCAAAGCTAAAAAAAAAAAAATCAGCAAAGCTCAAACATATCTGTTGATGGTGCACACGGTTTTCAATTCACAAGAGAGGCATCTAAGTACCACGGAAGTCTGTTCTTCAGCCGGCACACAATGCATTTGCACAGAGAATGTCAGGAATGAAAGGATCGTCAAGTGTATCTGGTCCAAACACCCGCTCTATGCTTGAGTCGCCTCTGTGACATTTCAAAGAAGTGGCCACCCGGCCCCACTGAGTACTTCCCGGCTCAGAAGCCTGTTACCTCTGCCCACGGCTCTCTCCGGAAAGTCTTCCTCAGATTGAACTGAGATCTGCTGTCAGGTTTGATTCCTCCTGAGGCCTCTCTCCTTAGCTTGCAGGCGGCCGCCTTCTTGCTGTGACTTCACATGGGCATCCCTCTGTGTGTGCACGTGTCTGGCGTCTCTCCCTGTCCCAATCTCCTCTTCTCATAAGGGCCCCAGTCATCTTCGGGACCACCCTAACGACCCCCTTTAAACTGCATTGCCTCTTTGAAGATCCTATTTCTAACGCGGTCTCCTTCTGTAATAGGGGTCAGAGTGGCAACATGAATTTTGAGGGGGCATAATGCACCCCATCACATCGCACAACAAACACAAAGCCAGTGTTACACTCATCTTACAGACGGGGGGGGGGGGCATAATTCACCCCATGACATCGCACAACAAACACAAAGCCAGTGTTGCACTCACCTTACAGGCGAGGATAATGAGAATAAAGGAGTCGATCCATGTACTCAACACCCCCTCCTCCCCTCCCCTGCCAATGAAGGCCTCACCCTTAAATCTAAAGCAGTTGGACTCCACCCTAACCCTTCCCACCCTCCACCCCCCTAGCGATTGCTATGATACCTTCCACTGCAAAGCCCACAAAACAAGATATTCCAAATATATTTTGACCCTTCTTTGTCTCATCTTCTATCACCTTGCCTTTTTTCTTGGTTTCTTTACCTTTAAAATCACTGTCAGCCCTAGCCGCTTTGGTGAGTGGAGTAGATAAAATGTGGGCCCTCTAACTCAAGGGTCCCGGGTTCGATTCCGGTCAAGGGCATGTACCTTGGTTGCAGGTTCCCCGGCCCTAGTCAGGGTGCGTGCAGGAGGCAACCAATCGATGTGTCTCTCTCACATCGATGTTTCTCTCTGTCTCTCCCTCTCCCTTCCATTCTCTCTAAAAATCCATGGAAAAATATCCTCGGATGGGGATTAACAAAAAGATAAAAATAAATAAAAATCCATTGTCAGCTTGGCATGAGTTTCTTTCTCCAGGAAGGGGAAGAGAGGGGAGGGGAGGGAAAAGAAACTCAGACAGGAGGTGGACCCCAGTGCCAAATAGGACAAGAAATCAAGGTGGGTGAGGTCTATAGATCTGGCTTCTGGGGTGTCCCCTTGGCTTTCTCAACTCTAAAGGAAGACTTCTAGAGAAATAACTTTATTATCCAACCTGCGGTAAGAAATATATTTCACTTCACCACCTGGTACACATGC